ATCCATATGTTGACCACCAATTGCCTAAAAATTAACAGTTGTAATGTACCTCATATAAAGATATAATAATGATTAAAAAAATATCTAAACTCAAATGAGAAGACAAACCTGGATCAAACTTTTCATCATTGTGTTCACATCCTTGTAATGCTAAGCTTCTTCCAAAAGGGCCATATCTGCTCCTGTAGAGATGAATCTCATCATTGACGACTTTATTTTGCTTTGCGGTGTCGCCATGATAAAAAGTCTCAATACAATTGAGAAATCCTTCTGAGATCTCCAAATCATATAGGATAGTGGAGTCTTTGTATAAGTAGAAAGGGTTTAGCAAGTAAGCAGCAAGGAGCAAAGGAGAATCGAGCCTATCTTTCATTTTTTCTTCAATAATCTGAAAGATAGGTTGGTAATTCTTTTCCAAATAATTAGAAGCTTCTTTGATAGACTTTTTAGCTTCTAATATCTCTCCATAAATAAAACCCAGAGAAGGTTTTTTTTTCCCCATCCGCAAGCCTTAGGACTTTTACCAGAGGAGTAAACACTTTTAAAACCACCAAAGCATTATTCCAAAATGCATAGCTCATAACAGTATCTGAAGCAGTTTTTCCCTTCACACACTTAGAATGTTTGCATTCATGCCACTCATCACTGCCAAACATGGACTTCAGTTGTGCTTTCTTATCGTATAAACTTTGTAGTGTTAAGAAACAAGTTGCAAATCGTGTGGCTCCTGGTCTCACAATATCCTTATTATTTTTATATTTTCTCATCATGAATAGTGTTTTATGATGAGCATATATAAAGATGGTGAGAGACTTAGCTTGATTGATCACTTTAGCAAACCAAGGTAACTTGGAAACTCCCTCAAGCATTAAGTCGAGGGTGTGAGCAGCACAACCTGTCCAGAAAATATTCGGTCTCTTCTTTTTAAGTAGCTTTGCAGCTGCTACGTTGTTTGTAGCATTATCAGTCACTACTTGTACAACTTTTCCAGCCCCAATATCTTCAATGCAGTTATCTATGTACTTGAAGATATATTCTCCAGTATGAGAATCTTTAGAAGCATCCTTAGAGGAAAAAAAACATGTACCTCCTCTAGAATTGACACACAGATTCATTATGCTTCTCTTTTTCATGTCAGTCCATGCATCTGTCATCACGGAGCAGCCTTGTTCTTCCCATTCTGCTTCTAGACTTTTCAACTTTTCTTTTGTCTTCTCTTGTGCTTCATTTAACAAGGGTTCTCTCAACTGATATTGACTGGAGGAACCCAACCAGGTCCAAATTGTCCTAATGCTTCACAAAATAACCTAAAAGGTTCATTATCAATTGCATTGAAGGGAATATTTGACTGTACATCCAGTTAGCACAATATTAATGAACAACATGTGTCTTCTGTTTCGAAATTGCATCATGGATATTCTGTTGCCGTTTTTGTGTAGCCAAAGAAGCTTCAGGTTTAATTCAGCTTGCAAACTTATCCATAGGACCTTGGAAGTGAGGAGACCTAAGAGTTTGATTCTCTCCTTGCAATTCATCATCCAGAAGCGATCTATCTATGTTAACCTCTATATTAATCTCTGATCTAATAGCTTCTTCATGTTTTCTCTTCATCGTTTTCTTGTTCTTTGCCTCCTTAAGTGCATTCTTACACCTATCTTGATTCTCTTTTGTTGAAAATAGACAAGAAGAAACGTTCCCTTTTTGGTGCGCAATGTGTTCCTTAATTCTAAAAATCCCACCATACATTTCTTTCCCACACAATTTGCATTTCACCTTATCTGGAATTTTTGGATCAAACAACACTCCATATTCCCATCCTACATCAGAAGAATTTCGTTTCAGATGTGTAACTATAAGTGGAGGATCCATTGGAACTTGAAATTGATCAAAAGAAATTAGTGTATCATAAATATAAAACTCTAAACCTATAAACCTCTAAATAAATGAGACACATAATTAAACAAAAGCAAGCTTTAAATCGAAACACTATCCCTAGCTTTATAATGAAACATAAGCAGACAAACTTGAATTATCTCTGAATTTTAGAGATATAAGGTTATTACCTACAGATTTACGAACAGAGAGGTAAGAGAAGGTTGAACTCAAATCCAATTGAATTAAGGTGAGCACGAATTTGTTAGAAAAACTGAGTATGCGTTCTTCTTCACTTGGCAGAGAAGAGATTACAAAATTAGGGTTTCCTTGGTTTAAAAAGAAAAGATGGTTCTGAACATAGAAGAAGATATTTTCTTCTCATTAAAATGTTAAAAATATTATTAAACCAAAGAAATGAAATCCACGTTCAGATCTCTAAACCAACAAAATCAAATTCACGTTCAAATATTATTAAACCGAAAGCAAAACCAAATCTACAAAATTACAGAGTCCCACATCGAAAAGAGAAAGAGGTAACTATCAATAATACTTCTTATAAATGAACACACTTTCTCTTGTCGTATGTTTAAGTTGAATTAGGTTTATAAAACCTAGGCCCATTGCTTATACGATTTGGGCCACAATATATTATAATATATTGAAAAAATCGGTGACTGTATCCGATCAACAATTTGTATTCAAAAAATCGGTTCACTGATTAAGTGATCCGATTTGGACATAATCGCAGCGGGTAGTTGCCGATCAGCGATTATCCGGGCGCCTATGCGGCTAGGCGGCCGATTTTTTGAATAGGGATATTTTCTTTTGAGATTTCCCAAATTCTCTCACTGGGAAATGTTTTTTTGAGATTTTAAATAGATTGAAGATTTTTAATCAATACCTCGGCAGAGTCTGCGAAATACAATTTTGGTATTATAAAAGAAAAAAATCTAGAATTGGTTATATCAGCAATAAAAAAATAGTAAAGTTATTCTAGATATTTAAAAAAAAAAATTAGATTATTCTACCTAATCTCCCTTTTTAAAATCCATTTGAAATCTCTTGTTCTTGGAAAAGTTTGGTTTTTAATAATTTTGTAATTCTAATCAAATTCACTGTTATTGGGACATGGATTGTAACAATTTTACTCACTAAACAAATCTTTCACAATCTTAACCAAATACATGAGATTCTTGAAATCCTTAAAATACAATTATTTGATAGATTTATTAAATACACAAAACTCTCTACAAATTTAACAAATCTATCTACAAATTTCACAAATCTCTAAACTTATAAAATCACCCAATTCTATCTAAATCCTACTGCCAATAACCCCCTGTAAGATGGATGTTTCCTCAAGAAGCAGATGGATCTGCAATTCCGGTTAGCATTTGTGGGTTTGGTGAGAAACAGTTCAGGTCGTAGAGGTTAAGAGAGCTTTAGACATCCGAATTTGGTGCCGTTTTTTTTTTTTTTGATTTGTAGAATGTAGAAGAAGAAGATGAGAGATTGTTGGTGTATAAGCACACGTTCTTGTTCTCTCAGTTGCAAAATGGTGGATTGTGTGATGTTGTTATGGATTTGCCAATTCGGCTTATGATCGATCCTTGTGGGAGCTGCTAGCTTTGTTGCACCACGGATTCCGACGACCTCAGTTCATTAGTTCCAATGTTATACTTATTGACAGATGATTATTTTGATGGTCAGATTACACATTAGGGTCTGGCTGAGGCTAGTTGGTACGAATAATGGAGATTTGGGGGACTTAGGTTATCAGTGCACCATGATTGCATTTAACTAAAGCTAAGACGCTATTGATAGAAGCTAAGACGCTATTGATAGAAGCATATACTATGTCAAAGGACACGAACCATGAGATATTCTACTTCTTGAAAATCGCATGTAGCTTTGTTGTGTCAACAATGCCCAAGGAAAGGCCAAAGTTATGTTCAAGTCTCCGGCTATAAAAGTTGTCTTCTTCTTATCCTTTGCTTCTTGGATTATGTTTTGCTTTGTCCCATCACTTTACTTGTTTACATGCGTGCTAGATATAGTCTTTGTGATAAATCTCCCTTTTCTGTAGTACTACTGCTAAAGTTTTTGAATGTGGAGGTGTGCTGTGCATTCCACAGGACGATTCTGAGAAGCAATCGATTAAAAGGGACGATGGTACTAGTAGGCATTGAACCTGCCTCTAGTCCTCCTAGCCTGAAAGTAAGCAAATGTGATTAATACTTGTCTTCAGTTAACTCTACTTCTACCATGTATTGGTTGGGCAGAGATTACTTATATACTTGCTACACTTGTTTTCCTTTGTCAACTGCTTGGGGTTTGAGTGTGTCTTGTTTCATCTTAATTGGCATTTCTTTACCAGTGGTAGTGATGAAAATTCAGAAAGCCGAAGCTGGAACTGCAGAATCTCTCCCAAAAACTAGACGATATCGAAAATGGCAAGGGACCGCGAGAAGATATCTAAAAGGTAGACACACGAACAAACCCACATTGTATCCTTTGGGATTGAATTAAGAGAAATATACTACAACTTTTCGTCATATCGCGATGTTTAAGCTTCTCAATATTGGACTTTTGTTTGTTAGTAATAGGCATTTCCTTAATCAGAATCAAGAGCTTTGGTCGATGAGAGCAGTCCAAAGATTCACAACAGAAGAAGACTAAAGAAAACAACATACATTTTTACATTTCTCATCATTTTTAGAATCTCTTTAGACAAAAACACCTTTTAAAAGTCTAAAGAGCAATTTCAGTCTTCATGCTTGTGTTAGAAGAACAGAGCCCTTTCTTCTCAATCTCCCACTTAGATTTTGCTATAACTCCATCACTCACAGGCTCATACGCCTGATGAAAAAAAATCAAAAATCAAAGTTTTTGTCTTTGCTATATTCATCAAGATAATGTCAGAATCATTTC